ACAATACCAAACAACCCAAAACTCATCAATACAAAAACAACAGTCCCCAAACCCGGTGCTATCAGAAGCAGGCTTGCAAGGACACACCTTTTAGTGCAAAGAGGGAGGTGGCAGTGAGAGCTGGCGGGTGGCTCTGCCAGCGAGGGTCTGCATGGGACCCTCACGCTCACTGTACAGTATTTGTTGCTGGCCGTGGGGGCTGGAGGGGGCTGACTGTGTTGGTGGGAGCCCTGGGAGGAGCTGGAGGCATGGGGAGGGAGGGTGGGAGGTTGGGGGTTTGACTTCTTTGGCACTGGAATGGGAGGAACAGTGCTAACCAGGGAGCATGGGTATCTCCTATGGACACAGCAGCTTCTGCCTGGGGCTGCAGTGCAGAAAGCAGAAGGATGCTCTGTCCTGTACCTCTCTCCAGGTCAGGTGGGGAGGGGCTGATGCAGAGCAGTGAGGTTGGGCTGCATCTCCCCTGGGGTCCACCAAGGTCTCAGAGCCACGTGTGAGCTGGTAGCCAGCGCCACATGCCAGGGGCTGGAATACCCCAGAGCTGCAGATTTCTCAGGAGAAACCACAAAGCCCTTCTTTCCCAGCCACCAGAAGATCCCTGGTGCTGTCCCCAGCATCTCCCTACCCTGCTGTCCAATTGAGGAGATGGATGCCCACTGTCGATTATTGCCACAAATAAATTGTAGGGGAAGAGCTTGTTGGAGCCTGGATGCCTCAGGGGAAGAGAGACAGCCCAAGCACAGGTGGTGGTGGGACCTTGCAGGGACGTGTCTCTTCCAGCAGTGGTGGGACACACTGGGAGGTCTCAGCTCTTCCACAATAGGCTGGTGCTTGGCTTTTCCCATCGTGTGCCATGTGATGAATTGTAGGGGTGGGGACACAGTTGCCCCCACAGCCACACGGTGACCAGTCCATAGGTACGGTCCACTCTGGTGGCACGTGGGGGCTGCAAAGCAAGGCGCTCTTTCCAAAAACTGGGGTGCAGGGATGCCATAACCCCCCCTCCCCCAGCCCCTCTGTTGGCCAGGGTTTGGTGGGAGGTGAAGGACCGATGTCCTGCAGGGGGCTAGGTCATCTTCCTGGCCACGCTGGCATAGGTGTGCACGATCTCCTCGTCTGCAGGACACGTGTGGCTGAACTCATCACAGGCGTAGGCGTTGTTGAGGTAGCGCCAGACACCCGTCATGTCAGCTGGGATCTCGAAGTCGCGGTACTTTTTGGCTGCAATCTGGAGGGAAGAATGAAGCTCAGGCCTCACCAGCACCACTCGGTGTGGAGAGGACACCAGATTTGGCTCTGGGTGCCTTTACCTTGATGATGTGCAGCTTGGGCAGCAGGTTGCAGTCAGCCAGCGTCAGGTGGTCCCCATCTAGGAATTTCCTCTTGGAGACGGTGATGTCCTCCATGCTGTCCTGGTCGATCTCCTCAGGCAGTGGGGTGGTGAGGTACTGATCCAGCCGCTGAAACTCCCGCAGCAGAGCCTTCTCCAGGTCTGGGTGGGTAGGGAAAAGCATGGCGTCATGCATGGGCCTGATCCTCATCGCCCTCCCTGAGCTTCTACCAGGCTGTGCCGAAGGGAGCAGAGCCCTGGGATTCCCCAGCCCCTGGTCCTTACTGCTATTTGCTTCCTTGCGTGAGTTCTTGATGTACGCCGAGAACTTGGCAAAGATGTCACTGCCCACATCGAAGGACTCCTTATATTTGGGGCTCAGATGCGGGTACCTGGAAGGAGATGCTGGGGTCAGCTGAGGACATCTCACGGATGGTGGTACTCACAGGTGGCACAGGAGGGGGGCTGAGCAGCTGCAGCACTTTAAATAACTGCAGCTGCTTCATTAGCACGGCTGTTTGCCATAGGGAACAAACTGTGGGGCTTGGAGACACTGTCCTAGGGTGCTGCTCAAGGCTGACATGTGCAAGGAGGATGACGATGAATGCACTCAGCGTTTCCTCTTTTGTGTAGGGCGTCTGCTTTGGCAATGAGCAGGCAGAAGTGGGGGCACCTCCTGTCCCCACCCCGACAGCAATTGCCATTGCCAGCTGCAAAACCACCATCTTATCCTCACCATCCTCCTGTTGTTCCCTGTCCCATGCTGTCCCCCACCCCGGACGCTCTCCTGCCTCAGTTTCCCCATCCAGGCAGCCCTGCGCAACGCGGGTTTGCAATTACGTGGGTGGGCACAGGGTCTGCTCCAGGAACTCCTCAATCTTGATGAAGTCAGTTTTCAGTTCCCGGTTGAACAGCAGGAAGGGCGGGTTGGTGCCTGGTGCTAAATCTTTCAGCTCTTCGGGTTTCCTGGGGCAGAAAAAGGAAGGGGGAAAAGCTGGGGTGAGCGCACGGGGAGCGCCCTGCTTGCATGCTGGGCTGGGTTTGGGCTCTGGGAGATGCCCCCCAACTTTTTGGTGTCTCAAACCCATGTGTAAGTGATGCACATGGCTGGAGGGCAGGGACTGACCTCGGTGTTGGCACCTCACCTGGTCATGTCCACCGTGGTGACATTGAACTTCACCCCTTTGAGCCACAGCACCATGAAGAGGCGCTGGCAGAAGGGGCAGTTCCCAATGTTCTCTCCATCCAGCCCAGCCTGCGGAGAGAGCAGAGAGGTCAAAGCCTGCCCTGAGATGAAGCCAGGAGGAGAGGAGGAGGAGGAGGTGGAGAAGGATGGACAGCGCATGGGAGAGGAAGGGAGGGTCAGCTTGGCCAGGACGCCAGGCTCAGAGGGGAAATGTGCTCATGTTTGCCAGGAAAAGCACAGTTTGTTTTTGTCTGCTGCACTACACAGCCTTAAAGCAGCCAAGCGAGAGGAGTGAGCATCACCCACCCCAGGGAGGAGAAGGGGTTGAAGAGCACAGCCACCACAACCACCTGGAGGAGAGTTTGGGATAACACTGGGTTGCAGGTGTCCTGAGTTGGCAGGTTAGAAAACAGCCTCAAATTCACCCCACTCTTCTGCCATCAAACATCTCCGCTCCCTTTCCCCTCTCCACAATCCAACCAACACCAAGCAAGCCAACACCAATGTCATCCCTTGGAGCACCTCCAGCACTGGCAGCTCAGTGAGGCTGTCCTGAAAGGAAAATCAGGATGGCCTCTGCAGGAAGCAGAAAATAAACCTTAGCCAAGCCCATCTGAGGATGCTCAGAGCCAAATGTTATCAGGAGGAAGCTCCACTAGCACTCATGGCACCGAACAGCAGGGAGGGGAAGTCATTGCTCTTTGCTTCCCTCTCCAGCAAGAGCCTCTTTCTCTGCTCAGCAAGAGCTCCTGTTGCTCCCCAGTGACTGTGCCCACTGTTTTCCCCCCCAGATGATGCAGGGACCCCTTCAGATGATGACAGAAGCCATCTAGATGGTGGAGAAACCCTTGAGATTATAAATCCATCCAGATGATGAAGACCTTCCAGATGATGTAAAAATTCTTTTTGATGACGGAAGAACCCCTGCAGATGATGGCAAAGCCCTGAAGATGATGGAAAACCCATCCAGATGATGGAGAATCCCTCTAGATGATGGAAGAGTCTCCGCAGATGATAGAGAACCCCTCCAGATGATGGAAGAACCCTTCCTGATGATAAAGAACCCTTCCAGATGCTGGAGAAACCCTGCAGATGATGGAAAAGCCCCCAAGCCAATGGATGAAGGCAGCCTGGGAGGTGCAGGCTTTCAGCCCCCACCCGAGGCCCCACGCCGGCACAAGGCATCAAAACCCCAAAGTTGCTCACAAGTTCCGGTGGTTTAACGCAGAGTGAAGCAGCACGAGGAGGAGGGAGCACCCTGTGAGCTGCATCACCCCAACATCCCCCAGACCCACCCAAAATATCTCCCTAAAAGAGCTGGAGGGCACTTTTGGGGTGGGCTGCGCGGTGACGCCATGCACAGAGCACATGGAGGGCGATGCGTACATCAGTTTGCTAACGGATGTGCAAGAGGGGGTTTTTGGTGCTAAATTAAGATTTAGGGGAAGTCCTGAGCCGCCAATTTGTTTTCTGTTTCCCTTCCCTCCAAAACCCCCCTCAAATGTGCTGCCGCCATCACAGCAGCCGTGCACACGTCTTCCTCTTCCCAAAGCCATCCTGGGGCAAAAAGAGGGAATGTGAGACCTCAATCCTTATCCTCAAGCAGATGCTCAGCCTGGGCTGGGTGTCTGGGGAGCATTGCTTTGGGGAGAGGGGATGGGGTGAAGCCCGTGGTGACACTTCCCAGTGCTGATATCCAAAGAGGGGAGCAGGGGCGGCGCATGCGGCTGCAGATGTTTGTTTGGAGCAGGAGTGTCGGAATGTTCCCGAGGAAACACTTGAAAAATTGCTCAATAGAAGGAAGGAAAGGAAAGAAAAGGAAAGAGAAGGGAAAAAAAAACAGCCCATTTTCTAGAGAATAATCCTCAAGGCTGACGGAAGGAGCTGCCCCATCCCGCCCGTGCTGGGGCACCCGCTCCATTTCTCAGCCCCACTGCGTTGTGCTTCCACCCTCCCTCCCAGCTGGAGAAAGCACTTCTGGAGCCACTCACCCGTCTGCTTCACTGCAATTGCAGTTTCCAAGGGATACACGACCACCTCTGGAGGGGAGCATCCTCTGGGGCTCCCCACGCCACCCAGCTGGCTGCCAATCCACAGAGACACCCCAAATCCCCACCACCCGCAAGCAACAGACCTGGCCAAACCCACCTTGACAAAGAGCTCAATTTCGGGCTCCTTCACCGGCCGGCTCTCCATAGCAGGGATCGCAGTCGGGGGAGTTGCTCACAGCTGTGCTGAGTTTCGCCTGTGCTCTGCGGTGCGCGGCTGCTGCACCTCGGGGTGGGCTGGGACTGGGGCTCGCCCTTTCCTTCCCGTCCGAGGCGGGGAGGAGCGATGGGGTGCAAGGAGGGGGAAGCTGCGGGGCCTCCCAGCTGTGACTCAGCACGCATCTATCAGGGAGGCACTGACGGGTCCCCAGCCAGGCTATCACACCCTCCCAGGCGTCTCAATCACCTCTCCAATGGGAATAGGGTTATTTTTTTGTACAGGAAGTGTCTTCATCACCCTCCAGCCCTTTTTTTTTTTTTACCTCTCCCTGAGTTTCTCGCTGCCGTCCTGCTGGATCCCACAGATACAGGACACGAGCACGATGCCACCGTGCCCACCCTGCTGCATGGGGATGTGGGGCTGAGGGTTTGGGGAAGCGTGGAGGGCAAACCTGGCCGCTTGCCACCACCTCCTCACAGACAGCCTTACACAGGAAGACATTGCAAAACACCCATTCCACAGCCCTGTTCCCGGAATTTGGACTGTTTCATGGGAAAGATGCCCCCCTGCTTTCCTCCCCAGGATGCCTTTGGGTGGAGCTGGCTGCTGGGGTGAGCCTAGCAGTGTGCCGTGGTGCCGTGCAGCCAGCACCAGCTTTGCACAAAATGGGGTTTTTATTATGCCCCACTTGCCCCATTCCCCCCAGCTTGGATAAGCTCAGAACTTTTTGCAAACAATCTGTGAATGAAGAGAACTTCCTGCTGCTGCTAAGCACAAGGCAGCCCTTCCCTTCCTCCCCAGCACTCAATGACCGGACATGTGCTGGGACACAGCCTGCAGCACGCGTGTATCCGCCCGGCCATAAGCAGAAAGCGGGGTGCAGGCTGGGGACCCCACTGCCCTCCTCCATCTGCTGCATAGTCCTCAAAAGCACATCCTCTGCACCCAGTGGCACTTGTCCCCGTGCTGTCCCAGCTGCCCCCAGTTGCTCTCCAGTGCACAGAAGGACCCATTGTCACTGCTGTGCCAGCCCCCGCCCCGGCGCCAGCTGCTGCAGGGACCGGGCAGTGGCAGAGAGCACTGGTGGCACCATGGTGGCCACGCTGGTGGTGGCCCTGCTGCTCCTCTGCTTGGCTGCAGGGACAGAGGCCAGCCCGGAGCTCAGTGGTGAGTGGGGCACAAAGGATTTGGGGACCATGAGGGGTGGGGTGTAAGCCAGGTTCGGCTGGGTGGCTTGTGGAGTTTGGGGGATCCCATGGGAGATGCGCTGGCTCTGGTCCAGCACCTAAAAAGCTGTTCTGGGGCAGGTGGGGAGGATGTGATTTCATCTGGGCAGAGCTGACAGCACAACTCTGGGTCTGAGTCAGCCACACCACAAGGAGAATCGCTCGCAGCCTCCCTGCTGGTGCTTCACCCCCAAAAACAGCATCTGAGTGAGAGTGTGTCAATGCTGGGTGGAGGCACTGCGATGCCTCTGTCACTGGAGGAACCTCAGCTCTCAAGCACAAGCCCCATCCACATCTCTGCTGGCCCCTTGGATGCTGCTGGCCCCTGGGAGCAGCGCTGGCTGTGGATGATGAGGGGGTTGGTGGCCATAGGGGAATTGAAAGGGGCTCTTTGTGCAGTCGAGCCTGGCACTGGTTTGTGGATGGATGGACAGAGGGACAAGCGTGGGGCTGGGAGCCAGCACTCCCACCTGCTTGTGTTCATTTGGGGGCTGGGGAGCTGCTGCTGTGCCCTGCCTTCCTAGCACCCTCCATCCTGCATCCTTGCATCCCTCAGCAACCTGCATCCTTCACTGTCCTTCATCCCTCAGCATCCAGCACCCTGCATCCCCCAGAGCCCTGAATCCTGCCTGCAGGAAGGCTCATTGCCCTCTCCCCACCCCCAAGCCTCCAATCAACAGAGGGAAAGCACCAAGATAAGTGCTTTGGGACACAAACCACACAGCATTAAAAGAGAGAAATACCCCATGCTGGGAATTCAGGATGAGAACCAGGACCTCTGCCCACCCAAAAGGATGTGGGCTGGGAATAGCTCATCCATTGGGTTCTTCCCATTTCTGGTGATCATCTCCTGGTGATCTTTTCTTAGTGATTGACCACCTCTTGGTGACCATCTCTGGCCATCATCTGCG